GGAACGGTTATTATTGTTTTAATTCACTGAACCGGCACAACTGGTAAGAACATCACCTGGTTGAAGAATATGAAGATTTTTAGCTTATTGGTTTTAGTATAGAAAATAGTTTTAACCATTTTAGAATTGACTTAATTTGTATGTCATTTTGAAATGTTAAATGTTAAAGTAATGAACAATAAACCACAATAACAGTTGGATTGCTTTGAGAAAAAAAATTGAATTCGACTTTTGACAGTTATGAAGTTATTCTAATAATCATTTGACAAAAAGAAGGAATGTGACTGGTTTTTAAAAAACATATTACAATAAAAACAAAGCATATCTTAAATATTTCAAAGCCCCACAGTATCTCTTTGCAAGTAGCAGATGAAATGATATGCACAAAACCATTTAAAACAACCAATGATAAATTAACCAGTCACCTTGAGCAGTCAAAATAACACTTTAAAACATGCAGATCAGCATTTCACTGCTAAAATAAAATACACGTAAATAATTATCACTCAAACTGAAAATTATTTCAAGTTTGGTTCACATAGTTACAGAGCATATCAATCCTTTAATGTCACAATTAATCTAAATATAATTTATATAAAAATCCACTTTAAGCTTAAGATACTGAAATGACAGCCAAATATAAGTTAAAAAACAGTTCACCGACAGGCACTTGCATTATACTCGTATGTACGTATATACATATGAATATGCCGTGGTGAGGAAAAAATGTATGCAAAAATATAAATGAAAGTCAGAAGATCATTTCAAGGGCTACAAGTGAGGATAATCAATGGGACCCAATAATTACACAATATTGCAAAAACCTGAACTGTTTTAGCAAAAACCTTTGTAAAATTCGACATAGTAGTTACATATGCATATAAGCAAGCTGTGAAAAAATATCCGGTATTTTAGTATATACGTGTAAAGGATGCATTAAATATCCTCTGGCAATAATTAATTGATATTTTCGAAAATTTATAGTTCATTTCCTTACACAAAAACACTCCAGTTTAATATGCAAGTCAAGGTTAAAAGAGACATATGCACATATGAAGTACATAAATACTTGTCGGGGAAAGGATTTTTCATCGAAAGATATCAATACTGTTAGTTTTCGAAAATTATTTTTTGGCAATAAAGAGTGGCGGGAATTACGCTTCGCTTTCTTTATAGGCGCTTAATTTTTGTAATAAGTCTTCAGACATGGGCGCTGCTTGTGGGAAAATTTGAGAAAGCAATAAATTAAATTTGAACTACATAAGTTTCACTAATTTTTGATATTTTTATATTCGAATCCTACAGAAGTTTTTATTTCTTTTTTAATACATTATGGGAGAACTATATTTGATTGGTTTCTAAGTTTCTACCAAAGCTCATAACTTATTTAGTTCGAGTTTTAATTGAGTTTTACTTTTACTAATTCACTTTATCCTATTTTATGTTATATTATTTTATTGTTATATCTTAATTTTATTATAACTTATTTTATTGCATTGTATTTTAATTTACTTTAATTTGTTTATTTTTAGTTTATATTATTATATTTAAATAATTTCATTTACTTTATATTTCTTTTATTGTATTGCTTGTTATTCATTTTTTTCATTTGTCGTATTTTCTTTCATTATATTATACATTACTTTTTTATTTCATTTCATTTTATTTTAATTTATTTAATTTTATATTATTTTACTTCATTTCATTTTGTTTTAGTATGCAATATTTCATTTAATTAATTTTATCTTTTCATTTTGTTTTACTGTATCTTATTTTACTTAATTTCATTTATTTTATTTTATTTTTATTTTTTATTGTATTGTATATTATTCAAGTTTATGTTATTATGTTTTAATTTATTTTATTTTATTTATTTGTAGTTTACGATATTCTATTGAATTAATTAATATATTATTATTATTTATTTTATTTTAATTTAATTTTATTTTTATTTATGTCACCGTTTTTATTTTAGTTTATTACTTAGTTCATTTAATTTAATTTAATTCAATTTACTCTTTTTTTTGTGATTCATAATTAAAATTACATAAATTTAAAAGTTCAGTAAAAGAATACAGAATTTAATGAATTTTTAATAATTGTTCTAACAAAATGTAGTGATTTTGTAATTCAATCATTAATCTCCCAAGCTTAATTGTTATTTTTTGCTTAAGGTTTTGTAAATGACTTTATAAAATTATTAAAAAAATTATTTGAACTAAAAGCATTGAAGAAATTGGACATTTGAATATGATTTTTCCTATTCCTTGCACGTCTTTTGTTGGCTTCAAACAGTCAGTTTTTGCTCAACTTTCTTCTCTTTTTTCCTTCTAAAAGAAATATTTTCAATATTTTCTGCATTGAAAATTATGTCAACAACATGAACAACGCCATCAGACATCACAAATTTTGCCATTTTCTTATTTTCCATTATTAGCGCTGTTATTTGTTTGTCCAATTCTCTCTCCGCTAGTTTGTAATAGTCAACAACTTCTTCGCTTCATCATGAATATTAGTTACGAGTTGTGATGGATTGTAATTGTCATCACAAACATTTGTACAAAGATAGAAACAAAGACAGGAAATATTAAATGCATTGCTATTTCCTTTAAAAAATTCCAAAATAGAAAAAATCATTTCTTTGTCGTTGAAGGAATGGGCATGTACTATATACATATGTATTTACGCAATTTTTAGGGTGGTCACAATAAAATTATTTGATGTGTTTTGTGAAGCGGCTTAGAAGCTGTAAAGATGTCGAAAACCCAAAACTCTGTGTCTATCACAAAAAATCACATTTACACCATTACGCCATCTTCAAGTTGTTTCAAAGCTTCAAGTTGTCAAACAACTGGAATGAGCTTCATTGTCTGGTATCATGGCTAAGGGGACTAATATTCTAGTAGTGAGAAACTATTCCGAAGTCAGACAATGAATATTTCGTAGAACATCGCCACTTATTAGCATGTACTAGTTTAATACTAAACAATGTTACTAAAACCCATTTTTGTAATCAGCAAACGTTAACTGGTATTCTAATATTTCTAGTTACTATCCTCAACAGTACTGGCTTGACTTAAATGAAATCTCTGCGAATCGAACGATCCTGAACTGAAATTTGAAACATTGAAACAGGAATTTACACTCATCGAAGTTTGTCTCTTTACGAAGCATCGGCAGATCGGTATCACCCCGAATTATAATTTCAAGCCCCCGATATTTAGTTAGTTATTAAGTTTTCTGGATCACGGAAATCCGATTAAGCCCACTTAGGACCATTTACCTGTTGTGATACCTACATATGTTAAACCTGTGGAAGGGACTTCTCCCATCTGCACAGATACTCTCGGCAATAGGTGTGTTTCCTGTAGTTTAAGAAATTATTGGTGCCCCCAGATACAATATCTACAAGACAATGGTAGTGGAAATAACCGAGAAAACTGTGACGGCCTCACTAAAGGTGGTTATATCCCTACCGTATAAGTCCTTAGAGAATTAGTCCATATTTCTATCATGAGTACCTATGAGACAATGTTCGTTTTTATTCTTATGGATGTCGTGTTTAGAAGGAGTGAAGATTAAGTTCTTTTTTCTTCGATCAATGAATAGACCAGACAAGGTTGCTTTGCAAGTGGTTTTATTCTGCGATCTGTAGTAAGTCTTGGTATGTCAACGTCATGGGTCAGAGTTGACCTGTTGACATTCTAGCCAGTCCGTTGGCCTCGAAATTCCCTGCGATGTCTAGATGACCATGGAACCCATCATCGCATACAGTCAAGACTTTTCTGAAGATTTTACTGAAACTTATTTCGACGGTTGAGGCGAAATATTGTAATAAGTTCAGTTACGGTATTAGCATTGAATTTCCATGCAGCGACTTCCATTGTTGCGGTTGATTCCGCTTGGAAGACGTTGCAGTGGTCGGGCAGTCTCTTGCTCAAATCGGTTGCATTAGGTTCAGAGTAAACTGCACAACACCTTTTAACAATCGAATTTTGAGCCTTCGGTAAATATGGTTACAAATATTTGATCCAGAAGTGTTATATTTTTTCATTTCGTACCTCTCTGAGATTTTTGCCGAATAGCTTTAAAAAATATGTGATTATTAGTTTTAACAATTTTTTTTTGCTGTATAATAGGAATTCAAAAGTACCAAATGTCACTAAAAACTTTTTAAAAATACCTCATAAAGAACCACCCTAATAGCACTCGGTTTCAAAAATTTAAGGTAGCACGTAGTTATATATATGAATTAAAGTCATTAAACAAGAGTGCCTTAAATGCATCATTAATGGCAGCAACAGCCTCAGCCGCTGATGGCAAAAATGTTATTTGTCCACGCAGCAAAGCCAAGCAACGCATGCGCACAACACAATGCGCATTGGTCAATGGAAGTTTTGCTTTGGAATGTACAATACAAACATATATACATATGTATGCATAGATGCATTTGAGGTGTATATGTTATGTAGGTACACATGTACTCTTATGGTTATATGCTTTGTAAGTGCTTGCTTACAAATCGTCAATATTTGTTAAAAGTGCACACGGTAAATACAGTTGTGGCCACATCAGTAAGTAAAGGTAATTTTCGATATGAATGAATGACAATGCGGACTGATAAATATGGTGATGAGCAAATGAAAAAAATGTAAAAAAAAACACAAAAACAACAAGTAAAATTACAACATTCAAGTGTGTATGTATATATAAATATGCATACACTTATATACGTACAAACATGCATGCATAAATTGAAGCTCCTTTGTGTCTGCACAGTTATACAAATTATATGTATGTAATTATGTGTAATATTTTCATTTTTATTGATGCACCATCGTCACATATTTACATATTTACATATGAATTTCTTTGACATTAAAATTTGTTTGCCAATTTTACTTTGTTTTCGATTTTCTTATGTTATGTTATCGTAACTATGTGAATGTGTATGTAGGTTCATATGTTCATATATATATATGTATGTATGTGTTACTTACCGGAAGCATTTTGTTGTTTTTTATATTTTTGTTCAGTCAATCGCCTATTCTCTGCTTCTCTTATTTCTTCTCTTTGTTGCACTTTATTTGTTAATGTTATGTCCCTTCCAAAAGTTTAATTTTCACCAATTTATGTGCAATTAACGGTATGAAGTATTACGTATGCGTTTATTTAAATAAATGTACAAGCGCGTCTGAAAATTATTCGATTTTGAATTAGTACGTTTAAAACAAAAAAAAAATGAATTTTAAATGTTTTTTTTTATACTTTTATTTTTGTTTGTTCATGTTTAATTAAATAATTATTAAATTAAATATTTAAATTATATAATATTTCAAACGTTCTTCATCTGACGTCAGTTTTCTCTTTCTTGTCATTGACTAGGACTGTTACTCGTAAATCTCTTCTAATATTTGAATAATGAGAAAGACTTCACAAAATTTGCCATGAGACTGGGGCAGCGCAATTCAAGCAAGCAGTTTTTCACCTGCTTAAAACTCTGCAAGCGAAATTTACAATACTCATGACATTCCATCTAAAAAGACGGCTCAAAACGCAGTAACGAAGTGGCTTTTTGGAGTGCGTCTTCCCATTAGATCTCTACATAGCAGCCATACTACGCCAAGAGTGACAAGAAGATGTTGAAGTACTGTGAAGAGACTATCGAAGAAATGCAAAAAAGCTCAGTTCTACATATGTGCCCGTAGAAAGTGACATCCCAGGCCACTGCGCTGAAACGAGCTGGTGAGAGCCAAATACCTTCTAATCATAATAAATCATACACCCGATGCGAATGGACCGCTGCTCATGGCAAAGAACATGCTTAAGCTGGTCTTCGCTCAAGAAGGCGAACATCAGATTGCTGAATGAAATCACATTCAACGTGACGAGACAGACAGGGGACTTAAAAATTTCTATTTCAAGAGATAACTGCAGCTAGTGTAAGCAATAAGGCAGCCTTTTTAAGACGCACAAAATAATTCGTGTATTTAGAAGATGACAGGAATCCAACTTAACTCCACTCAATTCACCCTAATCAAACTTTGAGGCAGCTACGTGGTTTCCCATTGGTCCAATTCTTCATATATCTGAGCAATCAGAATTCGTTCTGCCTCACCATCAAGTTAAATTAAATTAATAAATGGCTGGTTTTAGATATATTGAGTATTGAATTCAAGCAAAACAACGGATTGTTGTCAAAGTGATTGGTCTTTGGTTTCGGTAAATATAGTTCCACCATATTAGAAAAGGTTTTGTAATTATTTTTAAAATTGTAGTGAAGCTTATTATGTATGTATATGTTTCCATATTTTTAGAGAATTTAAAATTTTTTTATTTTATTTTATTTATTTTTTTCTTTTTCAAATTACAAAGCAACAATTTGAATAATTGTAATTTTCATTTCAAACTTATGTTTTTAATTTCAAAAGGAAACTGACAACGTGAAAAAAATTCTGTTTATTTTATTTATTACTAATTATGGTTTTTTCATTCCAAATTTTTAAAGAAAACTACTTGCTTTCATTTGTTTTTTGTTATCATAAAAGATCTTCAAAACGATTTAGGATTTTCATAACAGAGTTTTGGTTTTTGTTCGAAAATAAAATTAAACAATTAGGTAAATTGTTTAATTCAGTTTGAATAATAAATGTTTTTTTGTTTCGGTTGCGTAATTTTTTTAATTGGGTAATGAGTTTTATAATTGTTTTTCAAATTTTTCTTATTTTTTAGGTATTATAATAATTTCTTTTATTAAAAATTTTAGGCTTAGTTCCTTTCAGACATTTTTATCAAATTCATTTTAAAATTTTTTTAATTTGAACTGTATTTTTTTGCCGTTTGCTTGAAAAGGAATTAGTGTTGGAATTATTGCAGTTTTTTTTTTAAATATTTTTAATATTTCTTTATTATTATATCAATAAATTTTGTAATTTTAATGCAAATGATTTTAGTTGGACCAGAAAGTTTATTTAGTGCTTGCTTTTTCATTTATTAGCATTTTTTGATTTTTTTTTTAATTCATTATTATTATTTTGTAAATTGACTTAGGGATTCGTTTAATTTATTTGTAATATTTAATATTAAATATAAATATAAATAATTTAAAAAATTTTTGTTTTTTAATATAGTCATTTTTTTTAAATTTTACATTTTTTATAGGGTTCATCTTTAGTTCGTCTAAATATTTATTATTTTTTATTTTAATTTTTTTTTACTACCGAAATAAATTACATTATTTTTCGCCTTTTTAATGGCATTTAATTAAATCGACGCTGCGCTTATATCCAAAAACAAGGGTATGCATAATTCTTCTTGCTTTGGATTTTGTCACTTAAAAAAGCCACCATTAAAATTCTCTGCATTTTCCAAGAAACTGCTTTTAAGTATTTATAGCCTTCTTTCGACGCATATCAGCAAATTGTTAATTAATGGTGTATTTAAAAATACCAAAGTTTCACAACGCATGCATATAACCAAAAACAAAAAAAAACTTAAAAAAAAAAATAAAAAATTATAATAATTCCACTAACGAAGCTAAAAACAGCTTCATAAAATGACAATTGCGCAGCCGCACAGACGCACACCGCACAACACAGTTGCAGTCACATCCATTCGCAGCTGGCTGGTATGTAAGTCTTGTAGAGAGTTTACGCAATCGCTTTTCATTTCGCACTCGCACTCAACGAAAAGAAACTGCGAATCACCAGCAGCGCCAACACCACCATCATCATCATCATCATCATCACCGTGCACTGTTCACTATTCACTTTCAGCTGCTGCAACGTTGAAAAATATTTTTCAGCTTGCGCTTATTTATAGTAGAGCACATCATTCAAAATAAAAAAAACACAAACGAAAATTCCCAAAATAAAAAAAAAATATTATTATTGTAAAAGTAATGTGTATAAAATCCGCTTCATCACTTTGGATGCTTGTATGCGCGGTACAGCTTTTAACGCCAATCTATGCTCTTGTAATTTAGTTAAAAATATATATATATGTACATATATATTTTTAATTTTTTGTTCTTTATTGTTTTATTTGTTATTTACTTTTTTAATTTTTTATTTATATTTTTCTTTTTGGTTTGTCTTTTTTATTTTTTAAATATTATTGTTTTTTTTTTTTAAATAGTATTTATTAGCCTTGTATTGCAATTAGCGCTCGCTTTTTCACACTTTTTTTCCATTAAGCAGTAATGTTCGAATTCATTGGATTCGTGCTGCTTGGCTTGTACCAACACATGTGGATTTGGGCAACGTCAAATTTGCACTTAAATATCATAAAACTTCTTTTACACTTTCCGTTTGCTATTTGCACTCTTTGTTGGTTACTTACATCTTTTCACCGCTAAGTCGACATTACCGTTCAAGAGTCACCGTTGCACTGATTTCAACTGTTGCCAACACGGTAGCTTCAAGCCATAAAACGTGCCACCAGCTAGGGAGCCAACAACAAACAGCAACAGCAATAACAGCAAAAGTCAGTCAGTCAGTCCATACATGCAAAGTAGACTCTGCAGAAGTAACTAAAGCAACAAAGTGTGAGCCTAGAAATACATACTTACGAGTACATACATATCTACAAACCGCTGTCACCGCTACCAACAATACCATCATTGCTTTAGCCGCTGCCGCTGACTCTGCCACCACTGCACAACCAACAACCACAGGTGGTTTTTGGTAGTTCACTTTTACTGTCTGTTTTGCTTTATTGTTTTGTTGTTTGTTTCGTTGTTTTGCCGTTTAGGCAAGAGCTACTCAAGTTTTTCTTGTTCATCTTTTTATTACCATTTTCGCATATTTTCACCGAAACCATGAATAAAAACGAAAAAAAAGGTAAAAAATAAAATAAAATAATAATAATAATCAAAATAAATTCGTAAGGCAGAGTTGCTCTGAAAAAGAGCGCAAAAGCGTTGAGTAGAGGCAGAAAAGCCGGTTATATTACTATGTTGTAGCTAAAGCAAACGTCAAACAAGCAAAAGAAAAATAAACTAATAGGAAAGAGGAGAAAAAAAGACAAGCAAATGCCAACAATTCACCACTAACCAACTCTATGAACCAGTTAGATCCGTTCATTTTACATGCATATTTATACATACATACCTGCATACATATTTATTGCGATTTGTGGTATGTGCAAGAGAGTTCCATTTCTGCATTGCCATTTACTCAATAAACGTGTGTTTTTATTTACTGTTATTGTTGTGTTTTTGTTGTTGTTGTTGTTGTATTTAACAGCACGCAGTCATTTGCTTTTGAAGTATCTACCAAATCAGTTCTACATACCTACATACATATGTTGATTAAATTATTTTACATTGCTTTTGTATAAAATGTTATGTTTGCTTGCATCTCGTACATATGCCATACTCTACATGCATGCACATACACGTATACATACTCGCACATGTTAATTAATAGCATCACTCATACGTCCTGTCTAACAGAGAGAATATTTATGCGAGTACACTGGAAAAATTATGAATTGCTATTCAAGTATTTTTTTTATAAGTGATATAGTAGATTGTTGTGTTTATGAATTGATTTAGTCCAAATTCTTGCCAGGGCAACATCCAATAGAATATCCCAGTGTAATTCCAATTCAATCCGGCTGCGGTAGCGATAGGTGACATGAAATAAAGGCTCCTCGTAAAAAAAACCGTTCCATTTTGTTGGAAAAACATCAAGGAGGAGGAGTTCGGCCGAAAAAACGCTTCAGCAGTTACAAATCGCCAATTATATACGAGTATGTAATTCCAATGGTGCCCAAAAGTTTGCAGTGCTTGCCACACTGTGGTCCAAAACTATAGAAAATTTATTTAAATACTAATTTTTCTAATTGCCGTCGTTACTCGACCGGAAACATGAAGTTCTTCGAGTGTTTTTCGAAAGAAACTAAAAAATTCCACATAATAGTCCATTGGTCATTTAGCTTAGAATATACTGTAAGGCCCTCCATTTGTTGGAAATTATATGGTTACCCAAGCTGAGCCTCATAATTGTATCCATATACTCTTTATGGCTGAATGGTATAAATGAATTAAGTGATCCAAGCTTTGGACGGTTTTGAGTTTAATGTGCTATATTTTAGTAGAAATGTATCTTCTAGGCAAATCGGCTTTTAAGGTAAATCTCAAGTCATTCCACATCACTTGTTTGGCGTTAAACCTCAGTGTTGGGAGATACAAGAGTGGTATGGCTCGCAATGGTTGAGTTTAATACTTTTGGAAAAATACTATCAGATGCACAACTTTGCTTCCGCCGTTTAGGTGGCTGTACCGGTTGATGCTGGTTGAAATATTATACATAGATGATAATGCCTTTAAAGTGAGTGTGGACAGTGCCTAACGAATTGTCATCGCCGTTTCAGTGGCAGTTGTTCTTGTTTTCGTATTATTCACGTTCGAATTATGTGCCTAATTCTCGCCATTTGCGGGAAGTTTTACTTTTCTGTTACAATTCGAAAAAAATAAAGCTGAAGCACATCGAATGCTCTCAGAAACTTACGGTGATGCTGCTCTGAGTGAAAGAACGTGTCGGGAGTGGTTTCAATGTTTTAAAAATGGTGATTTCGATGTCGAAGACAAACATGGTGGTGGAAGAGAAAAAACCTTCAAAGATGAACAACTAGAAGCATTGCTTGATGAAGATTTCGTCCCAAACCCAAGAACAGCTTGCCGAATCATTGGGAGTGAGTCAGCAACCCATTTCAAAACGTCTTAAGGCCCTGGGCATGATTCAGAAAGAAGGAAACTGGGTGCCGTACGAGTTGAAACCGACCTCACGTCGCAAGTGGTCAAAAAGTACCTGTTAACGCTGAAATGGGAAGTCTTGCCCTACCCGCCGTATTGCCCAGATGTCGCTCCTTCCGACTTCCACCTATTCCGTTCGATGGCATACGGCCTGGCAGATCAACATTTTCAATCCTTCGAGAATTGGAAAAATGGATTGCTTCATGGATAGCATCAAAAGAGGACTCCTTTTTTCGAGACGGGATCCGAAAATTGCCGGAAATATGGGAGAAAGTTGTCGCTAGCGAAGGACAATACTTTGAATAATATACCTGTAAGCACTTTTTCGCAATAAAGCTTTTAATTTTGGAAAAAACGGCGGAAGCAAAGTTGTACACCTGATATCTTGAAGAGCAACTACTCATCTGGCTTTACTTTACTTATGATTGTATATGATGCTGTAATGCTGCCCCAGACTTTTTTTTAACTCTATTGCCTTCCTGACTCAACTATAAAGCGATGGAATTGTTCAATTGTACCACATTCCGCCAGAAACACATAATTATTGCATTTTTTTTTTAAGTTTGGATATAAAGCATGAGCTTATTACAATGTGACGTCGGCAGCTCTGCGTCGGCTCGGTTATAATGATAATTTGTGGCTTTTTCTGCGCTTTCGAAAATTATCCAAGAATCGATAAAGAAATAAAACAAGAAATCGGAAGCTCTCTCATCATTTTCGGTGCTATGTAGTCATAATTTGAAGATTTTTACATTCGACCTTCACTGAACATGAAATGCTCTGTTAACATTGGCTCAGAGAGTAAAGTGTCAGATGAAGCAATAAACCCATCGTTTGTCTTTATATTCGTCTGTCCATCTGTCCACAAACAAGTTACCTCATGCCTGCCGGAACGGTCCACTCAAACATAAAACCGATTTGTTTGGTTATGACGCTTTAGATCTGTAACAAAAGCATTTAAGAGCGTGAAAGCTTGATATATAACAAGAAAACAAATAAAGCTTGACACGCCACGATAATTTTCGCAAAATTCGTTCTGTTTGAGGTAATCTTCGACAACTTTTTGGCACATATTGGGCGGTATCTCAGTCATAACTTGACAAATGTTGTTTTTTATGTGCTCAAAAGTTAACGATTTATCCGAACAGTCTTTCGCATAGCCCCGCAAAAATGGTCCAACGATGCCATATTACACCATATCAGGGGCCAATTGTCATCACAAGGACGAGAGAAACCATATTCGCTAGTGTTGTGTGGCATGTAGCACGATCATACCTCGCCGCTGAAGAAAATTATCATCGAAAAATCGCCGTCCACAGTTTTTATATCAAGCACCCAATCGACGTATGAACGAGGTTGTGAATGGTCAGCTAGTTTCAGTTGTGTGAGCTGGACTTTCTATGGATGTGTAAGTCGTAAATGCGACACATTCGGCTCTTCAATTACACTTAAAGTAGTGATATTTGTACCCTAACCGATTCAGTCTCTTCAAATTTCTTTAAAATTTCGCCAATTGTTTGAGTGGTTGAAGAAAGCAATAAATGTTTTTGAAATCCCGAAATAGATAACCCTATATATATGTAAAAGGTACATGGGCATCGGCTACAATGTGGCCACTGCAACATATAAAACACGTCTGAAGAGATTGAATTTATCAACCAGCAACTTACTATTGCTAGGCCTCCGACTTCAGTTTCAGTAAATAAATGCAATTTTTTTGTTAAAAAAAAAGTTGAAACCTTTTTGGTTATTCAAAAATTTTGAAAAATCATCGAAAAAGTTAATGGTTATCACAAAATCATTAGGTTTGGTTATCAATGAAATGGAATATTGGGAGAACATAAAGTACGGGTTATCATGATTTTCGCTTGTATAAAAATAAACTAAATTTAAAAAGAATATAATTTTTTTGAAATTTATTATTATCATTTACATTTATCATTTGAACTTAAATTCATATTTTAGCTACTGAAAAATGGTAAAAGTGCTTCGAAGATCACCACATCTCTTTGCCAATGGAAGAGATCTAACAATAGTTTCTGAGCCAGTGTGCTGGCATCTGTCATTTGTTGTTGCTATACATATTTTCTCGCGAACACATGTCGAATGCAAACTAAACTAATCGCTGCTTATTTCTGTATTATCAACCCATTAACCAGTTTCAAAATTCATTTTATGTATAGGAATTAAAAACATAAAATTTCCAAAAAGACAACTATTCTCATATACAGATGCAGGAGGGGATTAAGAAAAAATCGGTAAGTTGAGCGGAGAAATAGCGAAATTTCTTGCTTTCTGGGCTTGCTCCTATTGGCAACGCAGTCCATTACTTTACATTCGCGATGCAGCCATGGCATTAAATCCCAATTCATTAGTAATTATTTCATGTGACAATCGTCGGCCTTCGCTAACTTTGGACTTAACCAGAGCTACAGAGACATCATAAATGGAAGATTTTGGTCTACATTCTCGGGGCTCGTTCTCTGCAGAAAAATAGCCTGTCTAGAATCCTTGGAACTACCTAGAATTGTCATTCACTGATTATTTGTATTGGCGTTAAATTACGACGAAATCCGAAGAGCATCACAGGGCGAATTTCTGTTTGCGTTGATGGTGGAATTTCGTCTGACCCATCCTCAGCTATCTTGCGTTATCTCGTCTCCCTTTCA